TTCATCGATGTTGGCTCCATGGGATGTGAACTGTATCAAATTTGGCGTATGACCTCTTGAAAGTCCTCTGATGCTTCGTACTCTAGCTCCTCGATCTTCTATAGTAGCGACTTTGTCCTTGTATTGGTTATCCTGAGTGCCATTTGTGATAGCTTCAAACGCAGAGTTGGTGGATCTTTATTCAACTTGTCTCCCCATTCCAGGTCCTAGACCTGGCAATCGGGTCGGGTTGGGATTTTAGGTTACGGGTCGGGTCATGTTGGTTTGGCCAATTTTGGGACAATATTGACCCAACCCATTCGGTTTCGGGTCGGGTTACAGGTCGTTTGGGGTTATGAGCGCTCTCAGAAACAATATGAAACATGCTTCATATATTTTTAAAGAACACAAATCTTCACATATTCATGGGAATAGTTTACTTAACACATGTCAATTAACATATTCTCAAACTTTCCATGCTAATGAAATGAAATACACATTGCACAAATCGTCAAAAAACAATCACAAGAGTTATACAACTAGAAGAAACACATGATATTTGATTATCCTTAAACTCCAAACAAGTCTTTCAAATCCTTGTGAATTTTTTAAGTATCTCACCAATTTATAAGTGATCTTATCATTTTGGGGGTTACATATGAAATGGAACGAGTCTAACGGGTCGACTCGCTAACCCACCCAACCCGACCCAAACAATTGTGGGTTAATCAGATTCGGGTCATTCGGATTTCAGGTTATAAAAACTTATATTTCTCGGGCAGGTTCGGGTCGTTTCTTAAATTGCCAGGTCTACCAGGTCCTCATAGTTGTGATCATAAGTTTTATGTAAGGAATTCTCATATAAAGATCTTGATAGGGTCTTGATCTCTATCTCAGGCTCCATCTCTTCATTCTCCTCAAAATCATCATCTTTTATGGGTTGCTTTGCTTCTTCATCTTTAATAGACCCTACTACTTGATGCATGATCACTTATACTTGTAGTGTGTTCTCTCCTTTGTCCTCATTGATAATGGCAATGAAAGTGGCCAGAAATGGTTTACCAAAGATTAAGGAGTATGGGGTCTCTATCTCCATCTTGATCATCACATAGTCTAGAATGCTCTCCAAAGGTTGCATGAAACTCTCTTATCCTCCTAAATCTTCTATCATGTTCTTCACCATTGGAGGGTATCAAGATGCTTCTTCATGGATGGCCATCTCCTTTGTCGAGGGTGTGGCATCGTCTTTGTCCTCCTTCATGGCTTGAGATGTTCCCATTGTATGGGCTTGAGTAGGCTCCATTGACTTATTCCACGTCTCTATATCTCCTTGGATGGCTCCTCCCTCCAGTTTACTTTCTTTGATGCTCCTTCCTTCTCCTTCACCATCTCACAAAAATGGATCTTCACAACTCCTCCTTCCTTAAAAGTCTTCGTAGAATAGTGCTTCCACGAGTTGTTGCACCGAATTTGGCTATGGATGCTATGGATCTTCGTGATGTGATGTGAGGAGGAAAAAAAGAGGGAGTGCCCTCTCTATTGTAGGCGAGCAGTGGGTGGGCGTTAGGGGGCACCACCACCTGTTTCCTTCTTAGATTCACAAGTCTTTTTTTGTGTAGCACAAGGAATTGAAGTGGCGGGTGGTAGCGGTGGTGGGCGTCAGGTGGAAACGCCACCCTACTTCTTCTTGGAGACGATCCATCTTGAATACCTTATTGTATAGTAAAAGGAAATCTTGCGCCAGATGAGTAGGTTTCCTAGAGGCGGTGGTGCATCAGGTTTAGGCGTCGTTCCTTTTTCCTTCTCCATTTCTGAGTTTGCTCTCCGTGTTCTTAAAGAATTCGCCAATTTTAGCACAATCTGATCTCCTTTCTTCATTTCTCCCTTTTATTTTTCTATGGATAACATAAACAAAAGAAGAACAAGCAACAAAACGGAGAGAGATAAGTGCTTCTCCACCTCGATATGAATATGAAAATAAAGCATAAAAACAAGATCAATCATCAATTCACACCACATCTATCCATATATAGTTTTCTCATAGCATGATAGCAACCAATTCCAGTTTTAGGTCTACCCCACACTTTAAAATATGACATATTTTATAAGCTAACTATATGATTTTGAAGATATGCATTATTAAGATTGTCAAACCATGACATACTCATCTAATTTCATAGAACATTTATGGATGCTAAACATGGGCTACCTCCGATGAACCGCTCTTTCTTTTATGCATTCGAGCTAGACATAACTCTTTATCCTTCAAGGTCCCCAACTTAGAGCTTCCTTGAAGTCCATCATCTTGATTGCATGCTCCAAGTGTGTACCATCCTTCTTCTTTTTTTTTGGCTTGATAGTGGATCATGAAGTAGCAGCCACCTTAGTCTCCACAGGGACTAGATAGTGTGACAACACCCCTTGTGTTGTTATTGTAACAACACTAGTCTCCAACCAATAGGAAGCTAGAATTGTCATGACATTTTATTAGCTTAGTTGACCTAGTGTAAAATGAAAACAGGGGTATAATTGTCATTTATGAAAATATGCTTAAATAATAATAATAAATAAAAATTAATTTTTTATTTTCTGCCCTAAAATTTGGTCGCCGGAATTCTGTCACACGTTCGCCGGAAACTGGTCGCCGGTCACTGGAATATGCTTTTCGTCGCCGGAATATGCTATTTTTTGTCGGAATATGCTCACCGTGGTCGCAATATGCTTACCGGCGTCGGAATCTAGTCATCGGGGCGGGAATATGCCTATCGGCGCCGGAATCCGGTCACTGACGGTCATCGGAGTTCGGTCAACGGTTTTCGTTGACCGGTCAACGATCGTCGGATGTTATGGTTAGCATTGTGAGATTTATGGTTTGGTTTCTCATATTTTTTATGCCTTTTGTGGTTTGCTTTATCGTGTTTCTGGTTTGCATTGAGAAGCTTCTAGTTTGCTTTCAAAAACTTTGTGGTTTGCATTGAGGGATTCTAGTTTAATTTGTTTTAATATATTTGTGGTCTGCATTAGGACTTTTATGATTTATTTATTTTTTTGTGGTTTGATTTACTGTGTTTGTGGTTTGCATTAGGAGGTTTCTGGTGTTCTTCGCAAATGTTGTGGTTTGCTTTGTGAGGTTTGTGGTTTGTTTTAGGAGATTTGTGGTATGCATTAGGAGGTTTCTGGTTTGGTTTATTGTGTGTCTGGTGTGCTTTCGGAATAGTTGTAGTATGCTTTGTGAGGTTTCTGGTTTGCTTTATTGTGTTTCTGGGTTGCATCAAGAAGTTTATGGTGTGCTTTTGAAAATTTTATGGTTTGATTTGTGGGGTTTCTGGTTTGTTTTAATGAATTTGTGGTCTGCACTATGAGATTTTTGGTTTGCTTTACGGTCTCACAGTTGAGTAGAGATCATGAATCGATCTCATACACATGAAGATGGCTAGCTAGCACTGCATGGCCGTACACACATACATCGATCTCACACACATGACACATACATGCATAAACTGATAAATGTAAACATAAATATATATATATATATTGTTTGCGTCAATTATATGGAGTGGCTAGCTGGAGTGGAGATGGGGTGATGGCATGACATCAAATCAAATCACATAAGCAAGCTCCTGATAATGGCGGCCTCGGGACTGTCGGAGTCGATGGTGGAGAGCAGCTCCGACAGCCGGTCGCTCAAATCCTCCACTTCTCTTCTCTTCCTTTCCTTTCCTTTCCTTTACTTTCAGTTTTCGTTATTATGTCGTCTAGCTTAGCTTCCTTCTCCTTTTTGTTCGTTTTCGGATTAATTCCCTAAATACAGATAAAACTAAAACAAATTCCTAAACTACCACACTTTTAAAAAAATTTCCCAAAATACCTAAGTTTGGAGTGGTTCGAGTTTGAGGAACTCGAACTACTAACCGGTTCGAGTTTAGGAGCCTCGATCTAGTCATAGATCGATGATATAAGCCTCGAACCATGTGGAGCTGAAGTGGTTCGAGTTCAGTGAACTCGAACCACTCCTTTGAAATTTTCAACAACCTTAACTTTGTGCTCGGTTATCCGATCGTAGCAAACTTTTTTTTCATTTCGCATAACTTTTCGAGGACTACAACTTTTATAATATAAATATTTTCAGAATATATGTGAAAATGTGAAAAATAAAGTAAAATGTACTCCCAAACCACCTTATATTAAAAACTATTCCTATTTTGAAAATTTATTCCTAGTAAATGTTGTAGTACTCAAAAACTTATGCAAAACAAAAACAAAACTTTGCGACGTTCGGATTGAGGAGCACAAAGTTATGATCCTCCAAAGTTTGATAAATTTGAAAATTTGCTCGTTTATGGGTAGCAAATGACGTTTTCTAGGAAGATAGCCATCCAAAAATTTCTCGTTTAGAAAAATATTGCTCTTTCGGCAGAAATTCCCTATATATAAAAAAAATTCCCATGCCTTCGCCCCGAGAAAATGTCATTTGTTACCCCTAAACGATCAATTTTTCGATTTTGCCAAACTTCATAGGATCATAACTTTGTGCTCCGCAATCTGAATGTTGCAATTTTTTTTTTATTTTGCATAATTTTTTTATTACTACAACATTTACTAGGAATAAATTTTCAAAATAGGAACAGTTTTTAATATAAGGTGGTTTTGGAGTAAATTTAACTTTATTTTTCACATTTTCACATATATTCTCAAAATATTTCTATTATAAAAGTTGTAGTCCTCGAAAAGTTATGCGAAATGAAAAAAAGTTTGCTACGATCGGATAACCGAGCACAAAGTTAAGGTTGTTGGAAATTTCAAAGGAGTGGTTCGAGTTCACTGAACTCGAACCACTTCAACTCCACATGGTTCGAGACTTATATCATCGATCTACGACTAGATCGAGTCTCCTAAACTCGAACCGGTTAGTAGTTCGAGTTCCTCAAACTCGAACCACTCCAAACTTAGGTATTTTGGGAAATTTTTTTAAAAGTGTGGTAGTTTAGGAATTTGTTTTAATTTTATCTGTATTTAGGGAATTAATCCTTCGTTTTCTTGCGCCTTCCTTTACGGGATCGGGAGGAAGTCGTCGACGAGGAGCTGGTAAGAGCGCCAGTAGGATTCGGCGGAGGAGAGTGGCGGGAGGAAATCGTTGGTCCGGCAGAGGTAGTCGGACTAGACGAGGCGGAGGTACTGGCAGGCCTGGGTGCGGTCGACGGTGGGGATTGTGGCGTTCTGGACGAGGTTGCGGAGGACGGAGAAGTCGAGCGAGCATGGTTCGGTGGTGTCGTTCTGGGCGACGGCGGCGGGTGGGGTGAGTAGTGTCAGGAGAAGGATGGAGAGGTGGAGGAGGAGGAGGTGCGAGGTGGCGGCGGACATGGCGGAGATCCAAGTCTCGAAGATGGCGGGGGAGATCATCTGAGCTCGGGGGCGCGAGGGTGGATGTGGGGAGAGGCGGCGCCGACAGGGAATTGGAGGACAGCGTAGGAGACGCTCTGGCCGTGGGTTTAGAGGGTAGGGTTATAAATTTTAATTGAAATTATTTTATTATTATTTATATATAATTTACCCTTTTACACAGAATGAATCATGTTGTTACAATAAACAACACTAAAAAGTGTTGTTATTCTATCCGAGCCCGTCTCCACATTGCACCTTATACCCCACACTTTGATTTGTAAGCATTTTGCATGTGGTAGAGGTAATGATACAAGGATAAACTCATGTATTCCCCTATTTGGGTTAGATATGACACTACGGTGTTATGCTCTCCAGAAATGCTACAAACCGATCTTCGTCAAGTAGTCTATTGAGATCTGGCTTGACTCCTTAATGTATCTCCACCAAGATTTCGAATTTTTTTTCATGGTCTCCAACTTTAGGAATGTCATCCTCCATCTTTTCGCAAAGAGTGCCCTTGTAACTTGTGAACTCTTCTTGCTCAACCCTAACTTCTTCTTGTTCAAAGTTCTGCGCATAACTTTGAAAAGATGGTGTAAGGGAATCTTGAAGGGGTCCATCCAGTACTTCAAAGTTTGGTTCTTCTATGCATAGAGCATCATTGCTTGGGGTAGGTGAGATACTCCTTGTTCTTCTTCCACTATTATAAAGGATGATGGAGAGGTTTAGCCTTCCAGTCTAGTAGCAACAACTTCTGGATATACCTTTTTATAAAAGTACTTAAAAAACTATGAGTTTTGACTGATAAACTATTATAACTACTTTCAATACCAGGAATAACATAAAATCATTAAAAATAATTTATAATATAAAATATGAATAAAAACTAAAAAGTTAAAATGGCTCTAGTTGGACAAAAGATGGGTCTATCATGATATTTGATGACCAAAATATTCATAGTCATGGATATCCGTCCGAGTTTGATCTAATTGGGTAGGGTAAAATTCAAACTCAAAAGATTTTAGATAGGTATGGGTGACACACGAATCCAAATGTTGGTAATAGGTGAACATATGGTTTTCTAACTATCTAACCCGAACCCGCCTGATTATACATATGTCTATGTATTTTTCCCCTATAAATGGTGATTATGTTTCTCATTATATTTGAAATTTATTGTACATATATAGTATTTTTTTATAATGGTGATATATGTTTCATTTTTTTTTTTGTAATTAAGGTACTACATAAGGGATTCGAACCTGAGACCTCCAGGTTCTAGGCTAGTGATATTCTCATTAGGCCAAACCCTTGTTCGTATACATATATAGTATTATCATGACATTGTGTTCTTTTTAACTGATTTTCTTCGTTCTAGTGATTTATTGTTATGCCTTTTCAATTACGTAATGTCAGTACACGTCTAATTGCTAACATTTTGAAATTATAAAGAAAAATTATTACTATAAATACTCAAAACCCAATCAGATATAGACATGTTTTTAATTTTCTACGCAATTCTTATGTAATATGTGTATGGTTAAAACTCAAACTATTTTAACTAATATAGTAAATATGCACTATCCAAATTATCATCCCTATATAAAAATATTTACCCCAATTATCATCCACCGCAACTATGCAAGCGATCTTGAAAAAGACAATACAATGAGACGATTTCCTCAATGTCAGCTTGCAGCTGCAGCGACAACAAACACCAATGGCCTTGAAGTTATCGGCTCATCCTGTAACCCCAAAGCTGATCGTCCTCCCCTCCCCTATATAGCATCTGCACATACCTTATAAAATACTCACTTCCTCTCCCTCTTCATTATTTCTTTTTTCCCCATATTCCTTCCTTCCTTCCTTCCTTCACATATATGGCCACCTTCCTTGCTTCTCCTACTTGTCCTGTCGCTGCCCTGCCGGCAGGGGCGGAGCTACATTGTAGCTAGGGTGGGCCCCGGCCCCCCCGGGATTGATCCCGGCCCCTAGGTTCTTAAAGATATTTCGTACAAATTTTAGAAGTAGAACATGTTCTGTAAATTATATGATCAAATAGTTATGTGGTCTAATGGTAGCCAAGCTTAACTTGTGTATTATAGCACATGGGTTCGATCCACATTGGTTACATAATTTTTTTTTAATTATTTTCGGCCCCCCCGGTCTCGAAATCCTGGCTCCGCCCCTGCCTGCCGGCAGCCTCCTCCAGAACCAAATCGGGAAACTTCACTGCCTGCTTCTCCATTAATGTATGTTGTTCTTCTTCCCCAGTTTTTGTCTTACTAACGTGTAATTGTTAACATGTTTGTTTGAATGTCGTGCAGGGCATGCAGGGATGTCCGAAGTTCATCGGGCTAAAACATGTCCCAAAGTTCCACTTCTCATCAAGTGTTTCCTCTACCAGCTCTAGATGCTTCAAGGCCACGATTACTTGCTCCGTAAGGCACCAAAAAAAAAACCCACAGATCTTTTTCGTCTTCCCTGTGGAAACTCACATGATCGGTGTATCTGGGTTCTCGCAGGCCGAAGCTGAAACGCTGAAGGTCGTCCAAGACACAATTGCTAAGCAATTGTCCATTGAAGTTACCACGGTGGCTCCGGAGACCAAGTTTGCTGACTTGGGTGCCGACTCCCTCGATACAGTATGAATATTCTGCAGACATTCTACAAATTGCAGACATGTATAAATCTTATTTGATCAAATACTTTTTTCTCTCAACGTTTACATCAAACGTATGGTTGCATCAGGTGGAAATAATGATGGCTCTGGAAGAGCAGTTTTCGGTGTCCATTGGCGAAGGCGGAGCCGAGAACATTCAAACTGTTCAAGAAGCTGCAGATCTCATCGAGAAAGTTAAGAATGCTGCAGCTACTTAGTTTCACCCAACTTTGTTATAGATCCTTCAGGAGGGACAAAAAGCTGAGTTTTTTTTTTTCTTCGATATTTATTTTCTTCGTACAAAGAAGCTAATTTTGTCTCAAGCTGTAAGGCAGCAGTATCATAAGGTTTTGTGTTTCAGCATTCAAAGACCAAACTATGTACCCATTGTTAGAAACAAAGTTTCTAACGGTATTTGGATTGGGAGATATTTGGGAATTTAGGAATTGAGAAGATAGAATTAGGGATTTGGGAAAGAATTGGGGAAGAACAGAAGGGAATCGACCTAGGCCTTTAGAGGGATTGAGATCGAGAATTGGGAAGATAGGGAGATTAGGGTTTAGGGGATTCTTTGATAATTCTTCCTTGACTGATCGTAACGTAGACTCAAAGTACATATTTATAGGGAACACTAGGAAACCCTATTGATAAACCTAATTCTATTAAAAGACTACTAACCATAATAAGAAATATCCTAATAATAATTATAACCATAAATATAGAAACCCTAAAGAAATCGGTTTCTAACATCTCCTCCCCCTTGAGACCAACCTTGCCCTCAAGGTTGAAAGACTCGACCCACTTTTCCACGCCGTCTGCGCAAATCTCGCCTTGACTTCCCACTTCTTGCGCTTCCTTTTCTTCCAATCACGCTCCAACTCTTCACTTGGTCTTCTTGCATTGATCTCCCCGTGTTGGTCCATCTCTTCCAATTTCATTTCCATGAGCCCACTATTCGCTACCTTGACAAATTCAAACCTCAATAGCTCCTCTCTCACTAGTATGAGTCCATCAAGCAACTCGAACTCCTTGTTAACGTTCCATGCCGGTCCAGACCTATCAATGTCATGTGTTCGAAATACTGGACCAAACCTTGGAGCTAGCCCATTAATTCTCTTGGTTGGCTCTCCACTTTCTTTTGGACCAAACACTTTAGAGAGCCCACTTGCCAAGCCTAAGCAATTATCTTCCAATGAGTCCACTCCATACAAAAGGCCTCTTGTTAATCGGCCCCTATGTGACCCAAGTGTTTTTCCATGGGAAGCCTCAGTCTTCCAATTTATGGGCCTGCTTAATTGGTATGGCCCATCCATCCCTTGTTCTAGACTACCCTGGCCCATCTCCACCCTCTGGCCTGGTCGATCAGAAGAAACGACCCCTCTCCATCCAAGTTTCAGCCCACCAGCTAAACCCTTCAACTCATCTATCTTCTCCTCCAGATCCTCTCTCTCCAAAGAATAGATCTTTTGAGCCCTCAAAATTTGCTCATCAGAAGCCCAATCTTTTTCCAACTTCGGCCCATAGCTTGGCTTTTGTACCAAAGCCTCGTTCGACCCAAAGAATGGTCTACAAACTGGTTCTGGGTCGGTCCACTCTCCTCCAAACTTCAGCCCGTGCTCAGGCCCTAGTTCAGCCCATTCCTTTCCTCCTCCTGGCCCATTCAATCGATCCCCTTGGTCTGACACGAGCCCAGCCCGCTCGCGCCCTTGCTGCTCCGCTCGGGTCAAGGCAACCTCCCCAGGGTTCGTGGGAGGAGAACCGATGCCGCCACCACCCTCCTCCGCCTTCTTTGTCCTTGTCGCGCCATCCACCATCGTCGGCGCTTCATGCTTCTCCCGTTCTGGCGATGATACCCGGCTAGCCACCGCCTCGACCCTCGTCTCCTCCTTCGACGGCAATGGCTTCTTCGGCGCCGAGCAGAGAGTCCTGCCTTCTTTCTTCTTCTCCTTCTCCGCCGACTCACGAGAAAGCTCCCCGCCATCTTTCAACGCCACCTCATCCTCGTCGGTCGACGGCGAAACGGAGCCTGCCATCGTCGCGCCACCCGCCATCGTCTTCACCACCGGTGGCTTCTTCTTCGACGGCAGACAGATCGACTGGCGGCTTGGAGTGGCTGCGGCTAATGTTGCCGGGTCTTCTTCGTCTGGCGCCTCTGTCTTGCATCGTCGCTCAGGACCGCTGCGGAGCCCCGGCAATCGTGCCCTCGTGGTCTTCTCTTTCAGCTTCCCGCTCGTCGTCGCCGCGAAGATTGCTGCTGTTGATGGTGCAGCGTCGACCCGCCATCTTCCGTCTGATCGCAACTCTTTCTTCCTCAATCTCCAGTTTGCCGGAAGAGGTACAGGGGCTGCCCTTGTACTCCTCTTCTTCCGGGTCCTCCAATTGTCCCGATCTTTCTTCATCAGCGATTCACTAATGAAAGCTTCGGACTCTCCAATCTCCTGTATTGTGCCTTCCAACTTCAGATATGCTTCAGCCTCCTTGGTGTGTTGCTCTTCCGCCCCAGCCGAGGAGATTGCGATTTTTGGTGCTGCATCGGCGGTGACTGGTGACTGCAGAATTAGCTCCGAGACACCCTCTCTTGCTTCGATGGGAAGGACAGGGATTGGTGGTGATGGCAGTTGTTCCACGGCAGCCGACGTTTCCTTGTCGGTGGTAGCCGCTTTCTCATCGGCGGTATTAGCAAGGGATGTGTCGGAAGTCTCCTTTTCCTGAGCTGCAGCAGGTAAGGCAGGGGCTTCCGGGCTGGCCTTTGATGTTGTCCTCTCCAACCTTTCTTCTTCGTCATCCGTCTCTGCTTGCACGGTCGGCGACTCTTTGGAGCTCCAACGGCGCCCGATGCGGCGAGCCCGGTCACGCAGCTCTGCCCACGACAGGTTTGAGAGCTTTGCGGAGCTCATCGTCGAATCAGTTGTAGAACGCGTCCCCGGTTGAGAGTTGTGGTGAACTCAATTCTCGAAACCGGGCTCTGATACCAGATGTTAGAAACAAAGTTTCTAACGGTATTTGGATTGGGAGATATTTGGGAATTTAGGAATTGAGAAGATAGAATTAGGGATTTGGGAAAGAATTGGGGAAGAACAGAAGGGAATCGGCCTAGGCCTTTAGAGGGATTGAGATCGAGAATTGGGAAGATAGGGAGATTAGGGTTTAGGGGATTCTTTGATAATTCTTCCTTGACTGATCGTAACGTAGACTCAAAGTACATATTTATAGGGAACACTAGGAAACCCTATTGATAAACCTAATTCTATTAAAAGACTACTAACCATAATAAGAAATATCCTAATAATAATTATAACCATAAATATAGAAACCCTAAAGAAATCGGTTTCTAACACCCATGAGGCCATGACTGAAAGCCTGTACTTGACCAAAAAGAGAACAATACGTATGGAATTCAATAAAGATGGACATTGTACGTTGTATTTTCACTGTCCAGCTTGCTAATTTGAATTCTGAAGACTTTCTAGACTATCTTCCATCTAAATGTCAGGTAACAAGTTATATATGGCCACCACTAATACTATAATCCATTATCCACTCACATCAGGAAATATAAACATCAAATGAAGAGCAGGGCAGTGAGTTTTGTGAATAGAATCCTTCCAACATGTAACCGGGAAGGCATAGTTCGAATCCCATGGTTGCAGCTAGGGCTGGGCATGCGGGCGGATCATCCGCGGGTTTGGGCCGGCCCACCCGCATTTGACCCGAATTTCGTTAAGTGGGTGGGTCTGTGGGTGGGTGACGGGTTGCGTTGGGAGCCATCCGCCGGGTGGTGGGTGGGTTGTGGGTGAGTGTGCGGGTGACCCGCTCAACCCAACAGCAAAAAAAAATCAAAGTCGTTGGCGCTAGAGAGAGGAGAGTGGAGACGTTAGATATAAACTCGGACTGCTCCTGGAGTTTGGACCTCAAAGCCAACCTTCCAAATAGAGATCCCCTCTTCTTCCCTTTACTTTTTCCTCTAATTCTTGTGCCTAGATCACCGCTCTTTCCTTTGTGGAATTATTTTCCTTAGTTCCTTGCACCTAATAATCGTCTCAATCTGTAGAAAACTCTTTCATAATTGAATTTCTATCCAATTTAAGAACTAATTCGGCCTTTTTTCGCCCTATTTCAACTTATTGTTTCCCTCGATGATTCTCTTCACCTATTATCATGTCAAGTTAACTCCTTTATATTATTATACATTCTGATGTGGGTGAACCCACAAACCCACCCGCATCATCCACCATCCGCCCGACCCAACCCGAGACTAAATGTGGGTGGGTGGTGGGTTAAAAACTATCAATCCGTTTAAGCGCGGGTGGGTGCATTTTATGGTCAAAATCCACCCGACCCACCCAATGCCCACCCCTAGTTGCAGCAGCATATGTAAACTTGTTCTTTCTGCTTGCTGCAAAAGATAAAGAACAATTAGTAACGATTCAGCAATCTCCAATTGGTCGCAGCATTTGACAGCATTGGTTTGTCAGACCACAAGGTCTATCTTATTACAACGAATGAGAGATTTGTATGTCTATAAACATTCAATTGTAATGAGATGGAAAAACATGGGACGGCCAAGAAATCAAAGAACATGAGGTGTGACCCATGGAGCAGTAAAATTCCCAACGAATAGATGTACTTCAATCACACTGCGGAGCAGTTGTCAGTCACCGAGAAATCCGACCTTAAGTAGAGAGCTTTAGCAGGCCATTTCTGACGAGCAACTTCATCTAGTCTTCAACCCTTGCAAGCCAGTTACTGATGGTTATAGCCAGGCCTCGGGTATCACCCAGTGAAAGACTTTTAAGTCCTTGAGCAATGGCGTCTGCAGGAGTATACACATCACCGACTTCCCATCTTGGTTCCTATTCAATTGCGACAAACAAAATTAGTTACCCTTGACCAAAGAAATGAAGGTGAGAAGACATTGGTGGAAAAACCTATGAAACTGTGATTGGCTACCTTCTGAAATATGAGCATTAGTGCTGAGATGCAAAATATGTATGGACATTTCACTACTTTCTTCTTCGAACATAGGAGGCACAATATTCATAAATATGGATTGATAGAAGACAGTCTCTGAAACTAACCTGGATGCATGGAGTGAGATGGGTGCCACTTAACTGAATCTTTTCTATTGTCCCACCCATGGACTCAATCCGAGGCTTCAGCGCTTCCTCAAGGAGATCCGACTCATCAATTGTGTCTGAATCGAACTTCACCTGTACATCAGTTGGATATAGCCCCAAAAAAAATAAGAATAACAACCTTACATTTTGTCTAAGTTCAGGGTTTACACATTAGAGAAAGGAACAAATTTTGGGATATTCAATATGTAGGAAACCCGACTCCGGGTTAGAGAGAGAGGGGGCCGGTCGGCCAAGAGGGGGAGGGAAGGAGTGGCAAACTTGTTATTTTGGGTTATTTCGGTTTACACTACTTAAAGACGCATTTCATTAGTTTTGGGAATTAAGCAATAATACACAGAAACTATCAAATCCCTAATCTCTGTTCTCTCTCTTGTTCTTCCCCAATTCCCCAAATCCCTAATTTCTTCTCTTCTCAATCCCTAATATCCCAATTGGGATTTCTTGTGTTCTACATCTGGTATCAGAGCCCCGATCTTCAATGAGTTCTTCCAAACTCTCGGACCTGTCATGGGCAGATTTGAGAAACCGAGCACGCAGCATCGGACGAAGATGGCTGCCCGCTGAGCAGGAGGCCGCACGATCGGACTCGGCAGCCCCCGCCGCCGCGCGCCTGCCCTCGACGGCCGCCCCTGCACCGCGCGCCGTCGCCCGACCCGCGCCGCCGGCCTGGCCATCGCCGAGCGCCGCGCTCCCCGCGCCCGCGCTCCCCGCGCCCGCGCCCCCGGCGCCCGCGCTCCCCGCGCCCGCGCTCCCCGCGCCCGCGCCCCCGGCGCCCCGCCCCGCGGCGCCTGCCGCGACCGCCCCTGTCGCGCAAGGCGCGCCTCAGCCCTGCCTCTCGCTGCACTCGGTGGCGGGCTGGGCCTCCCCGGGAACCCTCCGTTTCCGAGCACGAATCGAGGATCGTTTGGCCATCACTCTGGTCGACAGTGGCGCGTCCTTGAACTTTGTAGGCGAGGAATTCGCCAAGCACCTGCAACAGGTGGCCGAGGCCACCGATTCCATGGTGGTGAAGGTGGCGAATGGCTCTACACTGAGCTGTGGAGGAGTACTTCGAGGTATATCTTTGGAAATTCAGGGTCTGCCCATATGCACTGATTTGTATATACTGCCAATCACGGGATTCGATATCATTTTGGGGATTCCATGGCTACAGAGCTTGGGTCCTGTGACTAGTGATTGGCGCAGGTTGACCATGCGTTTCAAATGGAGGGATAAGGATTGGCAGCTACAGGGCCTCACCACCGTGGCTGGTCCTATCTCGATCGAGGACTGTGGTCCGGAGGGCGAGGCCGATTTGGCCATTTTGTGTTGGCCGATCGAGGAAGGGGCGCCGCCGGAACTTCATCCGGAGCTTCGGGAGCTGCTTGGCCATTACTCGGATTTATTCGAGACTCCCACTGCCTTACCTCCTCACCGACTGGTTGATCATCAGATTCAGTTGAAAGAGGGAGTGGAGGCGGTGAATGTGAGACCGTACAGATATGGGCATTCGCAGAAAGAGGAGATCGAGAGACAGGTTTCTGAGATGCTGCTCACGGGTTTGATCAGGCCGAGCACCAGCCCGTTCTCATCGCCTGTGTTGTTAGTGAGGAAGAAGGATGGGACCTGGCGCTTCTGCACGGATTATCGGGCTCTGAATGCAGCCACAGTGAAGGATCGCTTCCCCATCCCGACAGTGGATGATATGTTGGATTAGCTTCATGGATCCCGTTATTTTTCGAAGCTGGATTTGCGGGCAGGTTATCACCAGATCCGGATGCAGGAGGAGGATGTCCATAAGACGGGGTTTCGCACTCATAACGGGCACTATGAGTACTTGGTGATGCCCTTCGGATTATGCAATGCGCCGTCCACCTTCCAGGCAGCCATGAATGAGATTTTTCGGCCCCTACTGCGCCGGTATGTTCTGGTTTTCTTCGATGATATCCTGATTTACAGCCCTTCTTGGGCAGATCACTTGGCTCATTTGCAGGCAGTATTCGAGGTTCTACGGGCAAATCAGTACTATATCAAGGCATCCAAGTGCGAGTTCGGGGTGCAGGAGGTGGAGTATTTGGGTCACATGGTGACTCCACAGGGTGTGAAGGTGAACCAGGCCAAGATTCAGGCCATGGTAGACTGGCCGGTTCCCACGACGGTGACGGAGTTGCGTGGTTTCCTGGGTCTGACCGGGTATTACCGGAAGTTTGTGCAGGGGTACAGCATGATCGCCCGGCCATTGACGGATTTACTGAAGAAGGGGGGGTTTGTCTGGTCACCAGCAGCGGAGGCTGCATTTCAGCGGCTGAAGCAGGCTATGACGACCACTCCGACGCTAGCCATGCCGGATTTCTCCAAGCCATTTGTGATCGAGGCGGATGCATCGGGCCGGGGAATAGGGGCGGTGTTATCTCAGGACCGCCATCCCATTGCCTTCATGAGCAAGACACTAGCCCCCTCCAAGGAGGCTTGGTCTACGTATAAGAAGGAAATGCAGGCGATTATTACGGCAGTGCAGACCTGGCGGCCATACCTCCTGGGGCAGAAGTTTCACATCTACACTGATCATCAGAGCTTGAAGCACCTCCTCGAGCAGCGGGTGTCTACTCCGGATCAGCATAAGTGGGTATCGAAGCTGCTAGGCTACGATTATGAGATTCACTATCGACCGGGGCCCACTAATGTGGTGGCGGATGGGTTATCGAGGAAGCCGGGCAGCGAGATCCTCGCCGCAGTGACAGGGCCTGTTCCGCAGTTTTGGGATGAGTTACGGGCGTCCATGGAGACCAGTCAGTATTTGCAGGATTGCCGGGAAATCGCAGTGAGCGATAACCCGGGTCATTATTTATTTCGGCAAGGGCTGGTGACGTTCAAGGGTCGAGTAGTTCTTCCTCCTGGCTCGAACCTGGTCACCTCGGTACTTCAGGAGTTCCATGACTCGCCGTTGGGAGGGCATTCCGGCGCCGAGAGGACGCTTCGCAGGATTAAGGGCCATTTTTACTGGCCCAGGATGGCACAGGCAGTGCGAGACTATGTGGAGTCATGCGATACATGCCAGAGAGTGAAGTTGTCTTACCTGCGACCCGCCGGCCTTCTACAGCCGATGCCGGTCCCGGAACGGGTATGGGAGGACATCAGCATGGACTTCATAGTGGGGTTGCCCCCTTCTGGTGGGAAGACGGTTTTGTTCGTAGTAGTGGATCGGCTCACGAAATATGCTCATTTTATGCCCTTGGCGCACCCGTACACGGCAAAGATGGTGGCCGAGCAGTTTGTCTTGGGAGTGGTGCGACATCATGGATTTCCCAGGTCTATTGTCAGTGATCGCGACCCGGTTTTCTTGAGCAGGTTTTGGCAGGAGGCTTTCGCCATGGCACGGACTGTACTACGCATGAGTTCGGCCTACCATCCGCAGACTGATGGACAGACAGAGATAGTTAACAAGTACCTGGAGCAGTATCTGAGGTGCTTTACCCACCAGCAGCCGCGGCAGTGGCTGGCCATGCTCCCTTGGGCGGAATTGTGGTATAACACCACATTTCATAGGTCTATTAAGATGACACCGTTTGAGGCGCTGTATGAGAGATCACCCCCGACATTGGTGCAGTACAGAGGTGGGTCGAGCTCGGTGGATGCGGTGGACAGGTGGTTGAGCGCGAGAGATGAAGCTCTGGAGCAGTTGAGGACTAATTTGGCTGCAGCGTCCAATAGGATGAAGCAGGCCGAGGATGCAGGGCGGCGGGAAGAGGAGTTTGAGGTGGGTGACTGGGTTCTGTTGCGGTTGCACCCCTACCGGCAGTCCTCGGTTTTCAGGCGGGCATACCAGAAGCTGGCAGCTAGGTACTTCGGGCCGTACGAGATCATCCACAAGGTCAACCCAGTTGCCTATCGACTACAGCTGCCTGCGGGTTCGCGCATACACCCGGTGTTCCACATTTCCTTGCTGAAGAAGTACCGGGGCCAGGCGGACAGGGTGACGTCGACGGCTCCTCCGGTGACAGCAGATGGTGACTTGGAGCTCGTTCCTCTCAAGGTACTAGAGACCCGGTGGACAAAGAGAGGAGGGCGGCTGGTGGAAGAGAGCTTGGTGCAGTGGAAGCATGTGGAACCGGACGATGCTACTTGGGAGGAGTCAGAGTTGCTGCGCCCGAGATTCCCGGCTTTCGACATCGAGGCCGATGTCGGTTCTGAAGGAGGAGGGGATGTAGGAAACCCGACTCCGGGTTAGAGAGAGAGGGGGCCGGTCGGCCAAGAGGGGGAGGGAAGGAGTGGCAAACTTGTTATTTTGGGTTATTTCGGTTTACACTACTTAAAGACGCATTTCATTAGTTTTGAGAATTAAGCAATAATACACAGAAACTATCAAATCCCTAATCTCTGTTCTCTCTCTTGTTCTTCCCCAATTCCCCAAATCCCTAATTTCTTCTCTTCTCAATCCCTAATATCCCAATTGGGATTTCTTGTGTTCTACACAATAGCAGTTTAAGATTTTCGAAATACAGAAGTCGTACATACCAGTAATGTGTGCGGGACATTGTACAAGTTCTTGAAACAATCACGATTTTCGGCAGGTGTTGGCTTGAATTCGGATATCCCTTCAGTAACCTAACAACATTCATCTCTGTACATTAACACCAAATTGGACTCTGAACTGCTAAGTAAAGCATTGGCAAATCAGGTGATAGAGAAAATAGTCTACCATGTGACCGTTGGTTTAATGGCTTATATTAGTCAATTAAGCCTTTAATTCATTAAGGAAATGGGCTTACTAGAAAAGTGGGAACAATATTTTCAGGACAAGTTCGTAAACTATGCCGCCAACTTTAACCCTGGTACGGTCAATTTGGTTTGGAATGTGAAGGCCACAAAATCAAAATACCTCGCATTTGCATCTAGCGTGTCAGCAGGGCAGCTTCAGAGAAAGCATTTAATAACTTAAGCAAAAGCATTGTAACGAAAGGAAGAAATAAGAACTTGAGCTGAAGCTGCCTAGAGAAATTATGATCGGGTTTGAACTAGTTAACATAGAAAATACGATGAAGTTGCTAGTAAATGAAGCTCCAATGAACTACTCTATAGTAGCATCTCAAGTCTAGTATCTTAAGTACAAGACAGTAATTAGACGAACTTTGTGAATGGGTATAGGAAAAATAATAAATTGGAGATGTACGAACCAATAAAAAAGTTCCAGCTTCATCATTATTATTTTTCTTATACCAACATGAACAAGACAGATTATTAGCAAACCTGATTCATCACCGAAGGCAACTGATCAACGAACTTTGTGAATGCACCGAGGGCTTCCTGACTATTTTCTGGCACTATAGCTTCAGCCATATCAAGTAGAGACTTCCAAGCATCTCCTATGAAATGAAGAATCAATGTCAAGCAGAACAAAAAACCATATTTAGCTAGTATGTATTACATCCTTAGCAGAATACAAACATGTATATAATTCCATCCACCTTAGTGGTGCTGAAGCTGGGTGAAACAATAGGATGTCACGGTAGGAGCAACGGAATCATTGAAAAATGGATATTTTACCAAGAACCAATTAGGGAGAACGTAAAAGCATTACAGAATCCTCTACTATTAAATAAATGGGATAATGGCTAAAGAAAGGGGCAAAAATAAAAGAGAAGACTAAGATGTGCGATACTAAGATTGCAGTATTTCTTCCCGTAACTAACTTCAAAATGGCATGGTCTTGTCTGCAATTTACCTGAGGCAGTCCTAGCCATAGAATATACAGGCGATGCTTCCATAACTGGCATCATCTGGTTGACAAGAGGCCCAAACTGCTTTTTAAGAAGCTAAATGTTAGTGGCACAAAAGCATCATGATCTGGCTGAAAGAAGGGGGAACGCTTACAGTCCTGGAAGACTGACTAGACTTGGTCATTGGGCTATCATAAAAAAAAACTATGAACTAGATTGTCTTGTGAAATAAAAGAAAATGCATAATTAGGTGTATCTGTATCATCTTAAACAATTGCCCAACCTATCCAACAGTCTAAAGCTCCAGTGCGGAAACATCTCCTCATTCTTGCAGAAGAGTATGAAATGAGGATGCCACCAAATGAACATGCCAGAAATTTCTTAAAACTAATCGATAAATTGCTGGGAATGGTACATTCACCTGCTCAAAGTATGGTACAGCCTCTGTAGCAGGCCTGTTGTTGAATGAGACAATGACATTAGCCTTCCACAAAAGATAATAGCAGTCATCACTCTCAACGAATTGTTCAAGGCTCGAACTTTAAGCAAGAACAAATCAAACAGAAAACAATGCCAAACAAACCTTAGGAATCCTCTCTGCGAAATAACTTCCTACAAGCCCTTGGAGAAGTGCCCCATTACTGAAATGAACATCCACATAGAGAGCTAATATCAGCATTCATTTGATGTGATGTCATGGTGAAATGCAAGTTGCGATACTATTGAAGTTGATCGCAATCGACACCAATGCTCGTGCTCCGTGACATGAAGAGCTTAAGTTATCTCTTGAGAGCAGATATTAATATCCGTTAATGAAGTTTCAGATATGTGATCAAGCAGAAACCAAGTTAACCGAGGAGGGTTTTACTGGACGCACCCACCTATGCCCAACAGAGAAAAGTGGAAGGCCGGCGAGGTTTGCAGGAGTGAGGTCGGAATCAGGCAGTCCATTTTGCAGTAACGAGTCCAGGCAAGAATTGAACCTTTCATAGACTTGGTTAGCAGCTGAAGAGTGATCGAAGGTGACATTGTAGGGCACGGAGATAACAAGAAACCCTTCCTTGGCCAATTGCTCCATCAGATAGCTGCCAGTCAGTTCGGGACAGCACAAGAGAGAAAAATAAGAAAATTGATAGTTCATCCTCAATTCACAGAAGAAACGAACACTGAGCTAGCAAGCAGAAAGACAGGGGAGTTTGATTGATTGATTGATACCCGTAAGTGACCTCCGGAACTGCTCCGACGAACGCACCGCCCAAGAATTTGATAATTGCGCGCGGCGCTTTGCCTTCAGTCTGTGGAGGAATCACCAAGCAAGAATCCATTCTCCTGAATAGCTTCTTCCCACTGCTGGGGCTGGCGGTTCTGGCGCTGAATCGAGAACTGCTGCTACTGCTGGAGCTGGTGGCACTGTTTGCGTAGCCATTGGTGATGCATAGGGTAGAGAGAGGATTAAGAAGTTGAGCCCGCCGTCCCCCATTGCTTCCAGCGAGCATCCATGAACGGCTCAGCGGCAGCTTCGAGCATGGATAAGAAGAAGAAGAAGGACAAATGCAGCAGACAGAAGTCGACATTTCCATAAATTCGGGAGGCGGCGACGTTTGATGCTTTCTCCCAACGTCGATGCTTCTTCTCAACAATCCAGTCGAAAGCGCTGAGTGGTGGGTTAAGTTTCAACTCTGTTGTGCAGAAATAATTATTATTCATGTGGCATTATGATCGCCATAATTATTCTTCTGATGTGTAATTACTGGGGAAGAGAACAGTGGGGAATGAATGAGTGGAGATGAAAAAGGCAAGTGCCAAGTTTTAACGTACGATGATGCTTCCGCCACGATTTTCCCACCTCGCACCTTGGCCTGGAAAGTGACCGTCAGTTGAGGCTTGAGATGGGCATGGGTGGTTCGTGGTTGAACCCATAAATTCGCTCAAATTCATCCAGAACTGATTCACATCATGTAATGGGTAATTGGGGTAGGGATAACAATGGGTCGAATTGGGCCATATTGACTACTCTAATTTCTTTTAAAGTTTAGTGTGTTCTTACCGATATTACATTAGAATTTTGAATATTTGGATATTACATTAGAATGATTCTTACACTAAGTGTAAGTGTTGGACCTGAAAAAACCATTAGACTAGTCTGGCCCAGCCTAGTCCAATCATCCAGGCTCAAGGACCCAACCCGATTCAGTCAGTCCAACCAGGCCTATCGAGCGCCTAAGTCTAGAAAGGACGTCACACGCCAACTCATCGAGACAACTTTCCACATCAAGAGAAAGATGACACTGAGCTATGAGAGCTGGGACCACCCCCTCAGTTTGCCCCCTAAGATTGATGCTCAGACATTTTTTGTAATAACGAATATTGAAGACCAGTTAAAAGGACAAACATAATGGCATAAATAAAACAATATGCATGGAACATTACTAAATGCGCTTAAGAGTGCGTACATAACAATTATGGTGTTTAACCTGATTTGCGTATTATGAAAAGGAGAAACAACTTTAAAGAAAGCACACACTGAATACACATTTCTCAACACAAATATCCTAAAACCCTTCATCATCCTACCTCTCTATACCCAGTCACTTCCCCTTCTCTTCTTGTTTTTTATTACTCACCAGATCTCATTCCATTCACCTATCTTCCCTCTGACCAAACCTCCTCTAACAATCTCTAATCGAAATTCACTATAGTGACCAAACATCCTAATCAAATCGTCTATCCATTCGAGAGAACATAAATAATTGGCTCCCACCATGGGCACTAAATGATTTTCCACATTCAAAGCGGTCATGAACAGGACAACAAAAATCCATGGGAGAAGTCCTTAGACCACCCATAATGTGGGTTGATAAAGTGAAAAAAGTGGGGAAAAGTATTGTAGTGTGGTACGGAAAAGTGGGAAAGTTGGGGAAAATGGGCGGATAAACCCACTCATAAAAGAAAAAAGGTGGATAGATGTTCGGGGTGCGGGATCGAGACGAAAATCACTTTTTTGTTTTTGTTTTCTGAAATTGTGGAAAAGTTATTATTTGGGTGTGTTTTCTGGGTTATGGTCATCCCGTATTATTATGCTTTCGTCATTGATGACGTCATATTTAAATAGTGATGAAAAATATATGTCCAAATTAAAAAAAATTATATCGAAATGTTCGTATTAATTAATTATCACTAACTATGAAGAATAATGATCATTATATAAAAATAAAGTGACGAAATCAAGTATAGATGAATCTTAGGAAAAAAATGTTAAACCAATTACCCCCTTTTCTCATCCCCACATTGTGACCAAAACCTCACCCTCGCCCTCTTTTCCCACATTTTCCTCCCACCCACATTATGGATGGTCTTAAAGCATGGCATGGAGCCCCTTCGACATCCTGTAGAACTCTCAGGATGAGGAGACAGATGATTCAGATTGTGTAGCTTAGTTAAAACAGAAATTTGAAGCACAAGGGAACAAACTTATAGACCTGCAGGAACAGGTATAGATTGTAGCAAATCTCCTAGCACAGCAGAATGAACTTCTGGCTCTATGAGCACCAATGAGAGTGATCGAGCAAGATAGGAGTACAGGTCACAGTAATACGAGCGATACACAAACAAAGGAAAAATGGAAAACACTGTCAAGCAGTGGCGTAACCATGATTTCGTTTAAAGTGGGTCTACTTAGAAGAAAAATATAGATGATAAATAAATTTTTTTTTAACTTTGCTATCATTCATGATATAATCGTATATTGGAAAGTTTTAATAAATTAAAATACATTAGTAGTTGAAACTATCAATAATATCACTTTGTGTACCAAACAATTATTAATGATTTAGCTAGTCGTTCTCTTCCAAATGGTGTTCTTTGTCAAGAATCGTTTAGTATCAATAACTCGAGTTGTTGAGAGAAGTTTAATAATGAATCGTACACAAAAAAATAATCCATGATTTAGTTAGTTGTTCGCTTCCGAATGGTGTTTTTTTTTGTCAAAAACCATTTAGTATCAATAACTCGAGTTGTTGAGAGAGATTCAACAATATATCTTATACCATTTTTTAGCACCCTCCCTTATAAGAAAGTTAGCTTATATAGAATTGAAGTTTGCACAAATTGGCCCGCTTATACAGAATTGAAGTTTGCGCAAATTGGAATATCGTGTGCTTAAGAGATGAGGTCACCAAGATTCAAACACAAGACCTTTTGATAAACTATTCTTAATTGGATGCACCCTAATTTTCGGTATCACTTAACTATTATACCTAATTCGACCATCTTTCTTCTGAGACAGGACCACCCTCCTATAGTCCAATAATGCATATTACGACCCTCATCTCAAAGTCTTGGGATGGAATTGAAGCAAAAATTAATAAGATATGATTCATCAGAAATTAAGGCGAAACATATATCTAGGAGGAAAGAGAAACATGGAGAGTAAAGAAAGTTGGCTTGGTGCATTATTCACTATGTACACATTTTTTTGTTCTCTTCCCTATTAATTTAAAAGCTCGTATGATTATTTTTTGAGATTGTTATTACACTTGTATTGTTTAGGATGTATGACTTTCTTAATATTTTTTAGCAGATACAATACATGAATTGTTTCTTTGATGTGACAGAAATTATCACTCAAAATAAGTGATTGTTATATCTCAACTTTTAGATGAGATTGTTATGATAATTGACTTCAAATTATTTTATCTCAACTTTTAACTAATGTGACATAATCTCACATACCAATACTTCTATACAAAAAACTAGCACAGGGCCCCGCCCGTTGGCGGAAGAGTACGATTCATTTGGCCCAAAGAGTTTGATAATGAAATTGAGGTGTACTCAACTTAGAGGTACTGTATTAGTGTGATAAGCAAGTAGCTCATTTTTATCTATATATTGTAAATGCTCGGTTGACTGTTTTCTTCGGGAGGTTGTCAATGAATAATTTAGAAAAATAAGGTTATAAAATTAAATACCAAAAATGCATAAAAACATGTCAAATAGAATACTTATATATATATATATACATTATATTCATTCTCTAATTCAACTATATATTTGTGAAAAAATAATCATCCCTATAAAAAGTTGGTAAAGAACCACATAACAGTTGTTTTCCATGAGATCTTCGCAATAAAAAAATAGTTTTTCCTTTAATGAAGTTTAGAGTATCCATGAAATATTTTCCTCAATAGTCATCTTTGTTATTGAATAGTGCACGGAGTATAAATTCGGAATTACACGCTGCACACATCAGATGAATGAGGTAGAACAATTTGCAAATTGGTTGTCAATATTTAGTTGAGCAATGTACTCAAACTACTATCATATCTTAAATATGTCAAGCAATCACGTAACAGTTTCATTGAGCAAAGTCATGTAATCTTGGAAGTTAGGAGTGTAAACCAATAATATTGGTGGATTGACAGATAGATAATTGAGACTATTCAACAAATTAAATCATCATTTATTGACCATCACAACCGGTTAGAAAGCAAATTGTTAGCATTTATACCAAGGAGATCCAAAATTTTGGTTCAGTTGTACTAAGTTAATGGAGTCCCATCAATATATTAGTAAGTAAATGGTTTCCTCTTAGTTTTCAAAAGAGTAATTCAAGTATGTTTTCATTCAATAGCGATCACTCAAATTAGTCACTTACAATTTCATTCAAGTTTTGTGGCAGTAATGACTTGTGTGAATTTTTTTAAGATAGATTACCCAAATTCATTACTACATACATCGCAACCATAAATCAAATTCGTAGTTCGCAAATTACCCAAATAAACTACCGTTTGAATTTACTACCAAAAAACCTAGGATTTAGAAAAGTAGCACATAGTTTTTACTCATTAGGGTTTAGATGACAGTACAACGCTCCAAAATTTACTATTCAAGATTTAGATGGTGTTTTTGCACCCACCTCATATTGAACAATCATTTTGATTAGGCAATTCAAAATCTTTAATCATAATACAACGAACAAAGAATGAATGAATTTTTTTAAAATTATTTGGACTAAAACTATTTAGTAGCCAAACCTTTATAATTTGGCAAAATAATAGTTAGAACTTTTGAAATAAAATATAATAACCGAATCGTTAAATTTTCATCTGCCATCCCGTTCGTTAACTTTGCATCCGACATCCCGTTAGTTGACAATGACGTGGTAGCTAAATTGATGAGTTTGGTGAATTTTAGTGAGGTGATAAAGAGTTAATAGACTTGTTTAATTATGTTTGGATATTTATTAATTTTTAAAAATTGTGTATGATTTTAATCTACAGATTTCTTTTACATATGCTTGTATGATAAGTGGTCCAAGTATAAAATTAAGGCAAGGCGCCCAAGCCCATAATACATTCTAGCGGAACTCAAATAGAAGAGGAATCAAACTCAAGCACCGGAAGAGAGATTGCAATTGTAGGGTAGAAAAATTATTGGTCCAAAATAACCAAAGAGGCCTTCCTAGGATTGCGCAGAGAGCTAGCTTTTTTCAATTGTGCATGTTCTCACGGGGAAAATCTATATAAGATTGGGAGGATACATTTATTTAAAAATCCAACTTCTAACCCACATTCATTATATCATGGCCAATGCTACGGTGCCGCTCTAAAAAGTGCGGCACCGGTGACGCTGTTTTTTATTGGTCCACGTGGAGCTGACGTGGCTAGGCTGGTTTATTTATTTCGAGCCCAAAGCCTACTGACCCATTGGAATCGGCCTGAACCGAAGTCCTACCCAACAAACGGAAGCACCTATATTTCACACAACCGTTTTCAATTTGTTTTATTTTACAGTAATTAATTTTAAACTGCTTTTGAGTTTTATCCTGAATAAAAAAAAACGAGAGGAAAGAAAACCCAAGGAGCATCTTCTTCGAGCTCTCGGTCCAAACTGCTCCGACGAGAATACA